GGAAAATCCAGCTGTTTGGACAGCAAACGGTGTTAACATTGAAACCTTCTTAAGAATCAAGATCATCGATTCCTGCTCAGCTGTAGTGACCTGACGTCTTTCTAATTAACCTAGCTAATGAGGCAGGTTAAAAAAGTACTGTTAACCTATATGGGCCATCGGTTTGACTAATTCAGAAAGATGAACCAGATCAGCTTTGTTGTGCTCTGAAAAGTCACCTGTTTGGTGGAAACTTCTAGCAAAAATAATTTCTCTCTTAGTTTGTGGTCTAGTAAGCACTCTCAACAAAAAACCTGAGTGTAATGTGGTTTCTGACACTGACGTAAATGCGAACTGTGAAAAACCATGATACAAATGTACAGTTTCTCAGCTAGCACTGATATCAGCCGCTTTAGTTATTACAATAGTTAACAGAGCAAAACGTGTTGTTGACTGTGGCATAGCATTAGTTCCACTGCATTAGACACAATGACTATCACTGTGACAGAATCTCATTCACATTCGCTCACACACATACACGAGCGCGGCCTTTATGTCACTAACGGAAACACACAGCACCACTCATTTACAGCATGGTGGTGTGTTTCATGTATGTGCGCTGCATGCTGCAATATCATTAGCATTCTGATGTAAACAAGTTCCCTTACACAGCTGTGCCTCTCTTGTGAGTCGAAATGTACCCAGCACTATGCCATTTCACAGCACTATAGGCCTTTTACAAGCAGACACTCTCACAATATGGGGTCACGCACATAAAATCTCATAGTAAATTAGGTGATGTTCCAGGGTTGTCCTTATAATAAAGAAGAAGGTACCCATGGAGTCACTGACTCTTCCCTTTTCACTGGGAAAACAACTGCACTGTGTTCATATTGAATACACTCACCGGCCACTTTATTAGGTACACCTGTCCAACTGCTCGTTAACACTTAATTTCTAAGCAGCCAATCACATGGCGGCAACTCAGTGCATTTAGGCATGTAGACATGGTCAAGACAATCTCCTGCAGTTCAAACCGAGCATCAGTATGGGGAAGAAAGGTGAGTTGAGTGACTTTGAACGTGGCATGATTGTTGGTGCCAGAAGGGCTGGTCTGAGTATTTCAGAAACTGCTGATCTACTGGGATTTTCACGCACAACCATCTCTAGGGTTTACAGAGAATGGTCCGAAAAAGAAAAAACATTCAGTGAGCGGCAGTTCTGTGGGCGGAAATGCCTTGTTGATGCCAGAGGTCATCATCGAAATTTGACAATAGAAGATTGGAAAAACGTTGCCTGGTCTGATGAGTCTCGACTTCTGTTGCGACATTCGGATGGTAGGGTCAGAATTTGGCGTCTACAACATGAAAGCATGGATCCATCCTGCCTTGTATCAACGGTTCAGGCTGGTGGTGGTGGTGGTGTCATGGTGTTGGGCCCCTTGGTACCAATTGAGCATTGTTGCAACGCCACAGCCTACCTGAGTATTGTTGCTGACCATGTCCATCCCTTTATGACCACAATGTACCCAACTTCTGATGGCTACTTTCAGCAGGATAATGCGCCATGTCATAAAGCTGGAATCATCTCAGACTGGTTTCTTGAACATGACAATGAGTTCACTGTACTCAAATGGCCTCCACAGTCACCAGATCTCAATCCAATAGAGCATCTTTGGGATGTGGTGGAATGGGAGATTCGCATCATGGATGTGCAGCCGACAAATCTGCGGCAACTGTGTGATGCCATCATGTCAATATGGACCAAACTCCCTGAGGAATGCTTCCAGCACCTTGTTGAATCTATGCCACGAAGAATTGAGGCAGTTCTGAAGGCAAAAGGAGGTCCAACCCGTTACTAGCATGGGGTACCTAATAAAGTGGCCGGTGAGTGTACAGTGCAATTGTGCTTTAGCCTCAATTTCTCTTCTTTTTTTTTTACCAGTTGTGAAAGAAAATGTTGGGGGATTTCAAACATTTAGAAAAGATAAAAAAGGTGAAACATATTTTGCAACAAATAAAATCCAGTGCAGTTATACGTGAGGCACATCAATCTGGAAACAAATTCCCCACTATGGGGTAAAGAGGAGGCAGTATCATGCTGTGGGGATTAATGATGTTGAAATCCAGGAAGAAATCCTGTTAGAGTCTGATGCAGAGCCTCTCTTTCCAGCAGGACACCTGAACAAAAAAAAAAACTGTCCTGGGTGTGCTTCTCTGCTTCTACACACCTGACCTAAATAAATTCACTGAATTCAGCGTCCCTTGGTAGTTTGCTAAGGAGGAAAACATTATGATCAGGTATGCTAGAGCAATGACTCATCTAAAACACAACAGAGATACAACAAGAGGACCAGAGCTTGGAACCAGTGGCGTGGACCAGAGGAATTTCTGCTCCAAGTCCAGGCCTAAGTCTTATTAAGTAAACAAGAAAAAAATCACAAAAATTGCTACTTCTATAAGGTGCGTCCACAAATAATTCACTCAGGAGAGCTAAATACAAATGCATAACACATCCCACTTCATATTGTACTTGTAAACAAGACTTGTGTGAGAAACATAAATGCAGAAGGCACAGTGGAGATGCTTGTTTTCAGCAGTAACCTTGGCAAAACCCACAGGCAACACATTTACAAAAGGCTCAAACTCAGAAATACTTAAGTTGTTATTTTGGAAAAAAAAACAGCTTGCATCTGTTGTACAATAACAGGACACATTATCCATTTTAAAGAAGAAGCTGCACTCTTACAGAGATTCTTACATGTCTTGGTGTTTTTTCTTTTTCAGGACATGCTCTAAGGCAAGAGTGAGCATGCTTGAAAGCGCACTTTTACCTTTTCTTCGAGTATGTTGTTGAATAATAATGATTATTTTCCACTGTACTGATCTTTAAATGATGTGTTAGCTTTTAGTGATTATAATCAAGAATTTGCATGACAGACTAACTGGATTTCAGATGTGATCTAAACCGAGGCATCTAATAAAAATAATTGATAACACTATTTATAGGCCCAAAGTGGGGCAATGTCTGCTCCCAGCACCACTTGTACTACAACATATTTAGCATGCTCCTGCTTGAACATCCCTCCTGCAGCAGTTTAAAGAATAAGGAGAATGGGTGGATAAATGAATGAATATCCTGCTGCACAAACAGCATGCATGCTCCAATTAAACTACCCTCTCTAAATGTTACCACAAACAGGAGCGCTCTGTTACTGTAGCTCTTGTATCCAAGGCTCCCACTTAGTGAGGTCTAACTCTTCCCAGGAGGGGCCTGCATCTGACTTTACAGTTCACTGGTTCAAACAGTAAATGTATTAAACACAGCAGTTTGCAGATGCACCTACAGAGACCTAACAACACATCTGAGGCCAAAGTTTAGCATGAAATTATTTACAGCACTTCCTTTATCGCAAAGGTCAGACTAAATATACGTTCCAAACTTTAGGGGCAACATTGGATGATTAGCAGGCGGGGCGACGGTAGTTTGTTTGGTGATTGGCAGAAAGAAACAGCTGAGACAGACCAGTAGGAGAATGTAGCAGAAGACATGAGATGGATATTCTGTTCTTAAATCAATAGGATTTCTATGGAAAAGATGTGTACAAAAAAATCCTTTAAAATAAAGTCATTTATGCAGTAACATATCCGTCCTGTAGAACATTTTAGAAAGGCCAACCTTTGAAAAAGGGCATTTCTTTATTAGAAAAAATATCTTCTTTAAAGAATAATTATTGTTAAAAAAGTTTTAATTGCACATGTATTTGCACTCCCTGCAGTAAACATTTTAATGATCACCTTTTGCCAACAGGATAGGGCTTACAGAGAGATTATCACTCTCTATGGCTCATCCTCAGTTTTGTTCCATTTTCTCTCTATCGGATTTAAATCTTATACTGCGGCAGCAAAGAATGTCAATTATGTGTCATATAGAAGTTTGATGTTAATTTGGTCACATGTTAGATTACATTTTTGATGAAGACTCACTCATGATCAGATTTTAGATACACATATCTATTTATAATCCTCTGGTATTAGACTTATGATGTCATGCATGGATTTGGAGGAGAAATAGACCCACAGCATTATAGTTCCCCTACCATACTTAAAAGTGGGCCTGAGGTAATTCTTTACATACTTATCCTTTATTAATTTTTTTCTGTTACTCACTCTTTTCCGGGAATCGCTTGTTTCTATTGTTATACTTCTTCTTTACTGCTGTTTCCATCTGTCTCGCCATATGTGGCATGTGTGACTAAAACAAAAAAGCTTCTATGGAGCAGAAAATGATGGATTACTAACTGGTAGTCTAAATAAATATTTCCTATCTGGAAAAATATTTTTTAAGCATGGATTGTATTTCCCCTAATTAATCGAATTAACTCAAATTAAAGGTTGAATTAGTTTCACGACCATGTGTGCATTGCTGATCATAACCAACTCATATTTGTCAAGATGTTTGATTAAAGCTGATAAAAACCCTCTGCATCACAGCAGCAGGTTTCTTTCAAGCAGCGAAATGAGCTCTTTGTTAACATTTCCTGAGTTTTCGGGTGGGGATGCCAATGATGTGCATGCATGCAAACACCTCTGCTCCTTCATTCTGGTTTGGTAGTGCTTCCCGACACTCCAGATGGTTAAAGATAAAGAGCAGCACCAAGAAACATATAAGCAGCAGGTGATTCTATTTCCTTCTTCAATCCATCCGGCTGTCTCTCCTGATCTCACTTGCAAATCAGCAAAGCATGTTTCTCTCCAATTACTCTTGAGATCAGTTATATGAAGAGCTTCTTTCATCCCCTATAAGGTGACCTTTTACTTTCCTATTTACTTGTGGATTTGTAGCCTTTGAGTAATCCATCCACCCACCTGTCTCCAACTTCCCAGCCACATTTAAGATACATCCCCATGACAGACAGTTTGTATGTCAAGCTCTTACACAATAAAAATAAATGAAATAAAAGCTTTTCTCTCCTGATCGATCATCTACGTTACGGGATCAATAGTAATCTCAGCACTTACCAGCTGCATGCCACAGATGAAGGCCAAGGTGCACCTGCCGCTGCAACACCCCATGATATCCTCCTCCTTCTATGCAGAGTTCCAGAAAGTAGATAATCCCCAAAGTCTTTTCCTTTACCTCCAACCCCACCTGCAGTGTGTAAGGGGCCGTCTGGCTGTCTGGCCGCCCCAGGTGGAGATGCTGCTCTGTGGCCTCAGAGTGCAGAGATCAGTCCCTGTACTCTCTGGTGCTTAAAACAATAAAGGATGACAGCTTCATTCAGATGAAAGGAAGATAGGTAGTCTGTATGTTTTAAATCAGATCAGGACTCAACTATGACCACTTAAGAAAATTCAAGACAAAATATTATTATTCATCTTGAATAACAGGCTATTTTAGCAGAAATAAAACAAACAAGTGGGGTGAAGTTAGTAAAAATCCCTTTGCATCGATGAGATGATGTTCCAACTGTGTCCATTCAGTTTTTCCAGACTTCACCTTGTTGGACTAGTAATCCTTTCAGGGCTCATGTCGTTGAGTCGCATCTTTAGCCCTGCTGAAGGGGCACAATCCTGGACAGCAGCAGGCAGATGGTGGAATTGGCCAGATAATTTCCCTCCGATCTCTCAGGTCTCTTCCTCAATAATCCGATTAAAGCCCAGATTGCCTGCTTTGGTGGACGTAATTTGTTTCCAGGTGAAGGAAACAAGTGAAAGTGGCCCCTGCATCTATTTTTTTTTATCTCCACACAAACAGAGGGGCTCCTCTCCAATTCTTTTCTCAGGGGAAGTCAGAGACACGCAGCGGCAACATCCTCACCCAAACACAGATGTCTTCTTTCCACGCGAGTTTTTTTTTTCCCACTAAATGGCTTATCCACATAGGCAGTGTCAGCTGAAGGCGTTTATAAGGTACTCTGATTAATGTCAGCCTCCTGGAAGATGATTTCTGTGGCTCTTCTGTCTAATGAGTCCCCCTCCTTATGATCATCTTTCCTTCTTCTCCAATGTTTTTTATTGTTTTTATTTTATTTTTCTTTGTCAGCAGCCCGACTCGACGATCAGTTGCTCCCCAGTCTTCTTTTTTTTTAATAAAGACACTTCCCAAATAATCAATACAAGCAATAACAAAATAAACGCACGGATGTCCAAATTTCGCGCAGAATTACGCGTCTGTAAAGGTGACGCGCAGTAGCGGCTCCGAGCCAAATGACGTCTGGGTCCAGTTTCTCGTCTCAGGGTTTGTCTTGAAGAAGTGAAAAGGGGGAGACAATGGGAACCGGGATGGACCAACGGACCGAGAGAGACAGCCGTGAGGAGCGTCTCCCGCCTGCCATCTGTCAAGCCAAACAGCACGCCTCCATGCTGCTGTTCTGGTGCGGATTTCCAAAATAAAAGTGTTGACTGTGAGAGTAATTTTATCATCAATTGTTTTTAAAGGGCGGGGTTTATACAGCAGAACGAGCATTTTTGTTTCTTTCTCAACTTTTACCTGATTCGTGTTTTATTTATTTTTTTCCACATGGAGATATTCTCTAGAGCCTTTGTGGTGCGTTTTGTTCAGTGCTCGGAAAGAGGAAATTTCCAACTTCCACACTGGAAAAATCCTCTGAAAGATCCGCAGGCGTCTGAAACTGACTTGTGTTTTTCATTCTGTGCAAAACAGTGCAAACTGCATTAAGAACAGGGGCGAAGCTAGATGGGGGGGCCAGGGGGGGCCACGATCACCCTTAACCAATCATTGGCCACCCCTACCATTTTCCCCCTCTAATACAGACAGTGGTAACAGTAATACTCTCAAGTGGAAAGTTCAAAACATTTAAATTTTTCATATATTACCAATTACTTGACAACAAAAACCCTGTGGTTAATTATGCTAATCAATATACTAATATTAAAGATGATAAATAAAGAATTCATGCTCTTTTCAGAACTAGATTTTTAGTTATATGGGGTAAAGAGAAAATAATGTGTCTCTGCAAGTCATCTAGGAGTCTTTAGTGAAATCAAAGATAAATAAGTATATGAATAAAAACATATTAAATAATCAATTCATGTAGATATTAGTACATGTAAATATTAATTTTATGCTGATGGATTATTGATAAAAGTAGGTAAGTAATGACAATGGAAAAGATGTTTGCCCCAGAATTCAAACCTGAAAGAATTTTAACCACTATACCTTTAATTTAGACACCATGGATGTTTAAATATAGGGGTCTATTTGTTAGCAAAGGCTGTAGGAAAGTATAGTAAGTCTTTATTTTGAAAATATGGATGTTTTGCTTGTTACATTTCCTGTTGGAACAGAGTAGGTTGACCCTGAGGTTCTGATGCCATTCCACTTTCGGCCACCCCTCAGTCTACGTTGATTATTGCCTGACCATCCTTATAAACATTTTCTAGCTACGCCTCTGATTAAGAAATACATAAACTTTCAAATTATGTGCAAGATAAACATCAATAAGGGCTGCTCAGTTGGGCAGTTGGTAACACTGCTGCCTTGCAGCAAGAAGGTTTCGGCTTTGATTCCCAATCCTGGGGTCTTTCTGCATAGAGTTTGCATGTTCTCCCTGAGCATGTGTGGGTTCTCTCCAGGTACTCTAGCTTCCTCCCACAGTCCAAAAACGTGACTGTTAGGATAATTGGCTTCTCAAATTCTCGGTGTGCATGAATGGTTGTCTGTCCTGTTTGTCTCTGTGTTGCACTGCGAGGGACTGGCCACCTGTCCAGGGTGTACCCTGCCTGTCGCCCGTAGACAGCTGGAGATACGCACCAGCACCCCCTAAAACCCCATCAGGGATAAAGTGTCACAGAAAATGGATGGATTGATAAATACCAATAAATGTTAGCATTTGTTTATATAGCTATAAGAGCAACACTTTTCTTTTTCCTTTATGATGTCTAAACTATACTGAATTGTACTAACTAGGTAGAGCCGATGTAAAAACTTTATTTTTGAGTTTGTAACAAAACGTAGTAAACTGAAAAGATTTATGTCCCGTCGTATGCCTTTCAGCATGGTAGTAATTAGAAAACATTTGATGGCCTGTAAGTGGAAAATGGCCTGTACTTATGCAGCGCTGTTTCAAGTCAAGATACTTGACCAAAGTTCTTTACACTACATTCAACCATTCACACATCCACACACTAGGATTGTCAAAAGTATCGATACTCAAAAAAGTATTGATACTGAAACATTGAATCCGGATACAATACTCATTTTCAAAAGTATCGATACAGTGCTACCACCAGTGGCACCTAAACAGTCATTCATCTAGAGTGCAGAATAGAGGAAAATGCACTTTCAGAACACTGTGTGATTGAATAATTCTGTGCACTTTTCAGTTTCAAACTTTTTTTTGTAACAGGTGCAGCTGCTGAGAATTATTTTTGTTTCTTAACCGGTTTGGCTAGTGTCATTGCTATCTGTGCAAAGCATAGCCAAGGAAGGAAAACTTAATTTTAATTTTGTAAGTTTTTTTACCAAGCTTGCTTAATATTGTGCACAGCAAAAAAACTTCAAAATATTCTTCTTATTGTTTATTGTATTTATTTATTGTATTTTTATTATTAATGAAAATTTCTGTTGAATTTTGGAGTCTTTGTTTTTATCCTTGTGGTATCGAAAATGGTATCGAGTATCGAATATTTTCCTTAGTATCGGTATCGAGTTGAAAAGTTTAGTATCGTGACAACCCTAATACAAAGTTCAAGAATACAACTTGTAGCACAATGAGCCACATTTTGAATATGTACTATTTAGATTTAGAGTTA